TATTGTACATGTGAACAATAACCCGAATAGTATCATCTACAGTGCCTACTACACATGAACACAAAGTGATTTCACTGAAAACTTCGTGAGATGCTTTTAACTAAGTCTTATCAATTTTTAAGACAATCGGCCACAAAATATATTGAGACTTTTTTAATCAATCCCCTCCCCCCTTACTTCAATGTTGAAACCTACTGTACTTATCCAAAACGAACATAAGGTGACACTAGAACCACAACTGTGTCACTGGCAGTTGAAGTTTAACATATGATGTTGGATTTATACTATATTGTAGTGCCTAACAACATTGAAATCGGGGGAGGGGGTTTGTCTCAGATATTTTGTGGACGATTGTAGGCCCAACTAGACCTTGACTAGACCGCATGTGGAGGCACTGTAAGGGACCATCAATTTCAAAAAATTTCTGACCAATTTAAAGAACCTATTCAATTTTAGGCTTTTGCTCTCGGCAGCCCTGGCGTGTACATGTAAATGTATTTTAAGGGAAATGAAAAGAATTTTGCATTTAGTTTTCAGATATATTTGACATTTTAGTATCCGCCTGTGGATCCAAAGCAGCACTTTCCTTGCGATAGTAACCCCTAGTGTTAACAAGTATATATTAGTATAATTCCTCGCACAATTTGGAAAATATACACTCGTGAGTTTTTCAAAGACTTCAAATTGCGCTCGTCCTTTGGACTTGTTAAATTTTGATCGTCTTTGAAAAACTCACTCGTGCATGTTTTTTTTCCAAATTCTAATCGAAACCACACTCTTACCTATACCATATATAGTAATAATTCTCGCATCCTCAGTTTACATTTTCTTTCAATCAAACTTTATGATTGCAATTATGTTGCCAACGTAGTACCTTAGCGCGAATGTTTATGATACAAAGTATGATTCAAATGCCCGCTATATAGACTCGCCTAAGAGCATGCACGTTGTCAAATATCGTATGGATCCCCTTCCCATAGCCTGTGACTTGTATAATTCCTATGCAGGGTACTGTCCCCAAAAAAGTGATCTAGTAACATAGGCGTAAGGGACGGGGGGGAGGGCAGGGGGGGCAGCTGCCCCCCAAAAAGATAACAAAGTCGAAAAGTCGGGCAAATGTTCAACAAAAGTCGGGCAAAAGTCGGGCAAAAGTCGGGCAAAAAGAAGTCAAAGCAAGAAAATATCTCTTAATAATAACCGCAGTTTGTTGGGCAAACAAAGCCAGTTGGGCAATATTCGCTTCACAGTCGGGCAAGATTTGGTTATTATAAAAGAAAATGGGACATTTTCTGTCAATTTTGTGGGAAATTAAGTAATTTTTCGATGTTTGGGAAAATGTGTTGGATGTTCCGAAAAATTTAGGTATGTCCGAAAATTTTTTGCACCCCTAAAATGGTACACTGACCGAAATTTTTTTGGCGACGGGGGGGGAGGGGGGAGGGCGCCAAAATAAATTGTTCCGAAAAAAAACATTTTGCGGCACTGGTCGGAAAAAGTCGGGCAAATTTCTTTCCGCCCCCCTAAATTTTTCCTTCCCGTACGCCTATGACTAGTATCCTATTGTTATAATTTGAATGCTTGAGCACAAGAATGCGTTTGGGGAACTGCCTTTTCAAAATCTGAAATTGTACGCAGTGAATAAGGGATTTGTATAACTATAATTGTGAGTATCATAGTAATCGTTATAAGTTAATTTACAGTTAAATATTTGAAATGTTTTTACATGGCTTAGATTTTGACGTTGTTTCCAAAAACGTACCCCCAAAATGGCGAATTTCGCCGTCATCAGGCAGGCTAATTGAATTGAATTTTTAATTACTAGGCGCATGAAATCCTGTTTTTATCAACAATATGATAATTATAATAGTTTTTTTTGTGGAAACACCACGCAAATTTATTACTGCAAAGCTTTCGATCCGTAAACCCGGATCTTCATCATTGCTAATAATTTGATATAATTAGTACTGATGAAGATCCGCGCTCACGGATCGAAAGCTTTGCAGTACGTAATAAATTTACGTGGTGTTTCCACAAACAAAACTATTATATGTTTTATCGCCATGCAAGCGTACAAAAAACTTAATAGGATAATTTCTGTAGTGTTATTTTTTGCGGAGACACCTGTAGACTATATTGTGCATCTCATTTTCTATATCTAAATCAATCTACGAAATATTACTACAGCAGTTAATGAGACCGGACGAATTCGGCGAAACGTCATCTGTCATTTGCATATTTGCATGTACTTCATACGGGATACTCGAACCGGATTGAATGAATTTTCGGATTAAGATATGCATGGTAATAACCATGAATAATTGATAGTCCAGTAAACACGATTTAGAAATAAGATCATAGCCTGAGTTTGGTTTAGTGTTGGGATTAGCTGTACTATTTGGTTTTACTTGAATATATACTGCACATGTAATAATGGGGTAATTTTATTCCAAAATTCGAACTGCATGTTAGATTTAGGTTAGACGTTAGAGTCTGAGACCATCCAAGTAGTCTGAGACCCTTTTAATTTATGTCCATGATTCCATACTAGCCTCTTGTTTTGACAGGCGGCCTTTGTAGTTATTGTTTCAAGCTTATAGTTTTGCGTTTTTTTCCCTTTTAAAACCAATGTAACATGAAGCTAAGAAGACGTTCGAAGAATTTACCCGAGCAATACTACAAAGTGTACCCAAAGGACGGAACCCACCTAAGTTAATTATGTATTTCATTGCAATGATCAACTAATTATAATGCGGTACACACGTAAAAATCTCACATCTTGTAGCAAGCCTGCCAACAAGCCGTCAACAAGTTGTGTTTGCACTGCTTGTCCCAAGTTGTCAACAAGTTTAGAACAAGCTGTTAACAACTTGCAACAATCTTATAAATATTATCAGACTTGTTGCAAGCACAAATCCGATACAGTCATGATATAGAAATATTGTTACAACCTTGTGTCGTCAAACTTAATTCCATCAAGCTTGTTACAAGTTGTTAACAGCTTGTTCCAAACTTGTAACAACAACTGGGAACAAGAAATGCGAACACAACTTGTCAACAGCTTGTGAACAGATTTGTAACAATTTGTTACGCTTGCAGACTTGTAACAACTTGTGCGTTTTTATGTGTGTAGTTTATAACCTTTACACCGCCGAAACTTCAGTTTGTAAAATACGCTACAAAAAGCTGCTGTGACACATTGATTTTGCTCACCTAATATTTTAGCATTGGCGTTTGAAGGTTAAATGTATCGTAGTGCAAGCAAACAAATTCATGAAAATAGAAACGTGTTATGTTAACCAAATGCATAAATCAGAACATGCATGACACGTTTCTATTTTCATGAATTTGTTTGCTTGCACTAGGATACATTTAACCCCGGTTCGTCTTCATACGCCGATACTGAAAGATTTAACCAAAAGCAATGTGTTGCAGCAGTTTTAGTTGCAGGGTATTTTACCAATTGAAGTTTCTGAGGTGTCAAGGTCAACAAACTGCTGCATTATAATTAGTTGATTAGTATAGGTAATAGCATGGTTTCGAGTGCAATTAGGATGTATAAACATGCACGAGCGAGTTTTTCAAAGACCTCGAATTAGCACGAGTCCGAAGGACGAGTGCTATTTCAGGTCTTTGAAAAACTCATGAGTGCATGTTTACCCAAATTTTACGAGAAACCATGCTATTACTTATTAATAATTACACTGACCTGAAAGGTTAATTATCTTAAATCTCTAATTTTCCGTTTTCTATTTTCTTCGTCGTCGAGAAATCGAGTTGCGTTGGCGCATCGCAGGCTTAGGGTGCAACGATTAAGCCAAACAAAATGCCATCGATTCAAATGCCATCGATTCCTCGACTGCTTGATTTATTATTATAGTAACAAGCTCGTATTTATGTACGTAGTAGCCGGCTCATGCCATGCTTGTGGTACATCTTTCTTTATTAGCCCATACACTTTTACGCACGCGCACAATTCCGAACTCCAAGGATAGAGCTCCAGTGACATATTCAGTTCAGTTTCAAAATGGCATCTTTTTACTGAGAAATCTATATATATTTCATACAGTTTCGTTGAATTTTTAAAGAATTGTGCGAATTTCCTATGAATTTTACGTTGTGTCACACTCTGAACTTTCTTGCGTGTTGAATTAATGTGCTTTTCTTTGTGTAACGACTCCAAAACCGCAGAATTTGGACCCAGCCAATTTATATCAAACTGTTCTACGAACTCTCTTGCTCCCCACACCCTTGTCTATTACACCATAGTGCGTATGACCTCATTTTCAAGCAGACCAGTGTGAACGCCTGAGCAGTCGTCTTGTTTACATAAAAATGTTGGAGACAATTGTAGTTTTAAATTAACTTTCGTTTATAGCAAACATTCCACTGGCAAATTTGTCCTGGCTTTGTCATATCACATTATAAAACGCTAACAGCTTGAAAATTCCACTCAACAGTGTAAGTTTTGTTAGTCTTGTTAAATTAAATGCTTTTCCATTTAAAAAAAGATAAAAGCCATATTTTCCACGCGAAGTTAACTTTTACTTTATGTAGCGCGGCGTCATGTTTGTTTTTGTTTTGAAGCAATCTGTGACAGTTTACTTCTTTAAAATAAACTGCTTTGAACTGATTTGTTGATTTTATCATCACAATGTGTTTCGACCAATCAGATCTGTTTGTTACAGATTTTTGCACTGTTGTTACAGATTTTTGCACTGTTGTTACAAATTTTTGCACTGCTGTTTGGGATTAAGTGCACTGAAACCAACTAATCACTGTCTTGTATATAATTAATCCAATAAATACACAATTAATATAGATGGGTTGCGTTTCATTAGGACTCGCTCTGTATAACGCGATTTTATTTTGTCCCAGAAGCCCATTGCATTATTTGCTCATACGGGAAAACATTTCCTAAATTATAAAACATTTTCAAATTATGGAACTCTCGAAAACATAGACAGGTGTCTATACAAACCTAGAAAACATAGACAGGTGTATATACAAACCGCATAGCAATCAGGTGATTGCTATGCGGTTTGTGTTTAAGGTATTCATATAAAACGTCAATCTTAAGACAGCACAACAAAGACTGTGGCCTTGCTGAAGCATGGGCAGAAGCAGGGTCTTAGGTAGCAGCACAATCGAGCATGTGATGGCGGGAAAAGCATACAATAAGGGGATACGCAGCCACAAGTTATTATTTCAGCATTGTGGAGGCTTCTTTAACCCGGGTTGATAACATTTCTTCAAACCATGGATGCAAATCATACGGATGAAATTGAGAAGCTGTTCATTGACAACAATGCGAAAAACGGCAAGGTACATATTATATGAATACTTTTAGCCAATTTGAAGTTTTCATGCCTCCCAGCCTTAACATTTACACGTTTCTTGTCTACTTCGACTTATATATTTTCATATTTTCAAGTTTCAAAATGTCATGGATGAATTTGTAGAGCAGCGATCATCGAATGCAAATTTTTATTTTTGGTGGAGTTATTTGGAGATGGTATCTATTTTGTTAATATTTACTAGAGCTCAGTGTGATGGCATATGGCACTTGCATTTGTTTTTATTCAGATGCATGCTGCCTTATTTTATGAGGTACGATCACACAAATTACGCAAGATGGGGACCAATCTATCTCGCAAAGACGCATCGGTTACCAGCAAAAGTGCTCGAGGAATTTAAGAAGGGCGATTTCGTTGTCAAACGTTCTGCAGCTGATTTCAACCAAGTGAGTCCAGACCAAGCTCAAGAATAGTTGAATGCGACTGGAAAGAAAGACGGAGGTGTTGTGGGTATAACCGAAACAGCTCCAGCATTAAGCAGATGGGCTGTCTCTTACAATCTGCGTTCTCACGTCGCCCCTGAAACTGCATTGATGTTCAATTGTAAAACGGATGACAGCCTAATTCACACAGGGTGGAACATCAAGGAAATTCACGATAATGATACGGAGAATGCACTTACATTTGCCAAACTCTACGAAGTAATGAAAGGGAAGGCATCAACGGAGAAAAAGAAAATTTTTACTCTCGATATAAACGTTCTCAGTAGCAACCTCGTTTCCAGGGCTTTTCCCTTTTTGTCATTGGGAATTAGGCGGGAAAAGGCCCTGGCACCGGCCGGTTTTCTATGTATTCTGATTGGTCAATGACAAGTACATTATTATGCAAATAATGCAATCTTGGATTAATT